AATGCCGTAAATTTTGTCCATTAATTAGTATTTGGCTGTATATTTAGATTTTATGGATTTCTAAATTCTTAGATTTAGATCACAGAAGTTTAATTTCATTACTAAAGCACGACAAATATTGTATAATGTAAACATGATTTAAACAAAATTGTTGCGTTTAAGGTACGTCTATAATAAAAGAAATAATTGTAATATTTTCTCTTTGCTTTTTTTTATATAATTTTAATACAAAAGTATTTTCTACTTTGACTGGCATGCACTGATATGAAACAAAATTAATTTTCTTTTTGGACAATTATAAAACGATTGATTCAATGTAAGTAATGTGGATGCTTCTGGAGAACTTGTAGATTTCGATTTTTATCATAAGTATTATAATGAAAATTTAAATCGTTATACAAATTGATAATAAGTTATTTGTAATGCTGTAATATTTTCCATATATATGTAGGTAACATTTTTATTTAAAAAAAAATTACTCTAATTGGGCTGAAGATTTACAAATTTTCTAAATTTTTTATTTCTTAATTTATAACTTTCGTTTGAAGCAATATAATTCTATGTAAGCATCCTTATTACAAAATACTCATTCATTAATTTAACAGGGCAAAATTTTTATAAATTGTAATAAAATTTATTCTTGTACAGATAAGTAATATAGTTTCTGTTTTCATTAATAACGTGTAAAGATTAATTGGAATTTTTCTTTCACTATTGTATTTTTAAACATTTGCTTTTTTTAAATAATGGAAGTAATTTAAGTAGACGTTTCCATAGAGCAAATAAGTAAAAATAATAGTTATATTACTTTTAGTGATACTCTATTATGAAACTTGTAGCACTTGTTAAATAGAAGGATAATTGAGTAATAATAAGAACTAGACTCTCATTTTCGTAACAAAAACAGAAAATGATTTTGATATAAATAATATTGTAATAATCGTTAGATTTACAGTAAAATTGCATCTAGCTTCATCGATTTTACAAAATATGTTTGCATTTGCCAAAACCATAAATTACTTGTAATAATTATCTAGAAAATAAATGATTCTTCATCTTTCTCTATTTAGTTTACATACCGTTTAAGAAGTAGTGAAACAAATAAAAATACTTGTGGATTAGAAGGCAATCTTTTCATTTAATAGAATTGCTTTTATTTATACATTGAACAGAATTGATAATTGCTATTATTATTTATTTTTTAGCACTTCTTAACGTATTATTTGCAAATTTTTAACATTATAAGCGGACATTCATAAAAATAATTAACTATGTACAGATCATCTTGAGTTAACTAGCAATCTTAAGTGTGGCATCCTATCATTATTACACATTTACAGTGATCTATAATCTGGAAGAAGCAATTTCTTGTTCGTGTAATCATAGAATAATAAAAATTGAAATCTTGAACGAAAATTTGTTTGTTATAAGTTCCAATAATCAAAATGTACAACAAGATTTAAAATCAGTTTTTAATTAAAACTATTTGCATATAAATTGCTTCTTCAAAAACAATAACAACTTAATTGCCACAGTTCAATTACTTAATTAACATTTATGCACCGGTGCGAAAAAACGAGTAGATAAATAGTTCGTTTAATAAAATGAGTTTATAGGTTCATATACACAGCCCATAAATATGCATACAGAAAAATAATGCATCAAATATTGTCTGAATCTCGAGTTCACTGATTGATAATAATTTTCTATAGTTTCTCATGAACTGTTGCAAAAAATTCACATTATTAAATTAGAATAAAAATTATTTTTACAAGAGAAAATTTTACAATACCGTTTATGGTGTTAATAACAATCTCACTTATTACTACATTGCTGACTCTGGATTTAATAATAAAAACACATGTTAATTTGATATTCCAAACATAATTTACAGATCATTCTTATTAAAAACATGAACAAATCTAGAAAAGAAAATTATTCTTTAAAATCTCTGCCAATTTAACACAAAAATTTTCCCTTCACCTCCTAATTAAAAATTCATGTATCAATATTTCTATCTTGCTTGTACAAATTCAGAATCAGAATAAACGAGTGTTGCGAGTTATAACAAAACAGAGATAAAATCGAGCCCATTCTTAAATTTATCCAGAAACAAAGTCCTTATAAAGACATCAGTCTTTGATTTTGTCATGTTTATAGACCTTCAATATTTTTCTCCATTTACTAATGAATTATAAAATACTCTATTTCTGAGTAAATAGAATACAAAAAAAAAATATTTGAAATAAAATTTTTCAACAAAAGTAATTATGATAATAAATTATAGAATATAACGAATTTTCTTTCCATATTTTTCCTACAATGAAAAAAGCACACAATAAATTCAATTTATTTTGACGGAAAAAATCATAATTTCATTAATAGTATGATATTATTTATCTTCAACAATATAATTTATCCGATTCTTAGTATAACCGAAATTTCGACTAAGAAATTCAATAACATTCGTCTCTTAAGTACAACAAATGCTACACACTAAATAAGTACTTTTTTTTTTATTAGGACATAATTTGTATGTATATACTTAAATAGAATGTACAATGTATAATTCAAAACATACATTTCTTCGAATATAATCTTTCATGTATTATGACTATAAACAATATTAATTCAGCTCTCACCTCATATTTTTTTTCTTGTAATACTTTCATTCAATATTATGTCTACTTACGTCACTGCGTCATAATAAATATAATTATCCATAAAGTGTATTAGAGCAATCTGTTAATTCTTAAAGCGATGTTATTTCTTGGCGAGGCATTGTATGGAAATAAACTTGTTGAAAGTTTCGTACTCGTTTTAGAGCACCACTTTTCAACACTATTATAGTATATCATGATGCCATACCCATGTTTTTTTCGTATGGTCAAACCTATGCGCTAGCCATTGCTGCTCTAATAATTGGTATCTATCTTGATTTAAATATAAAGGTTTCCCGCGTCTATAAAGAGAAATAAATAAATAAATAAATTAATATCCTAAAACTCAAAATTAATTGTAAAAATAGATTATTATTTTTCAATATTTTGTCTGATTTAAAGTAACATCCTTACTTCAGATCTCTATCTTCTTCCTCAAAATCATCGAGATATAAAGATCCCCATAAACAAACACGTTGACCTCGAATTACTACAATATAGGTTGATGTTACCACCAGATATATACCAGTTCCACCTCCGCAATCAATCGAATGCTATAAATCAGAAAAAGATTATGTTTATATAACTATACTTCATTATGATTATTTAATTTCACAATTATGTTTTGCTCGTATGAAATAAAGCATATATATAGTATTTACTTGAACAACTTCGCATACGTTCCACGGCTTCCGTTTTGGTTTTAAACAAACGATGGCACCACATAATAAGCAAATACTAATCTCCTGCGGAATTGAATGACCTTGACAACACTGTCGCCCATGATAATACTAGAAAAGGAAATAAATCTATTACAGATACAATATATAACATATAAAAGATAATACATTGATAATACATACCGTGAAAATCTTCTCATATTCTCTTGGAAGACTAAGTAGCTTGGGTACCTGCCATGATATGTGCTGTTCCATGATCAAATACCTGCCTATATCATTTTGATTTACAAAAGCAAGGAATTGATTGCACCACGTACGAGGCACTACTACACTACTCTCGCTATCTTGCCAGTTCAAAGCTATAGCTGAATTAAACATATTCCAATCCATACTTTCTGTAACTAATTCCAAATAACGAACTAATCTCGCAAATTCAGCTTCTGGGGCCCTAATTATAGGTAACGGTTCCTCGTATAAGTGGTAACGGAGTAATGCAGCTATTCGTAAAAACGGTAAGCACATAAATTGTATCTGAAATAATATGATTACGTGACAAAAAGTATTTTAAACTCGAGATAAAAATCGCGAATTACGTTAACTAATTTACACCTACCTGTTGTTCAATATTATGCATCTTATCTCGTGCATATGGTGTGCACGATGAAGTGGATGGATCATATAGTACAGTATCTGAATGGTAAAGTGGACTATTACTAAAATATTCAATAATTTTACATAATATAGTCTCAGAAGACATAGAACTATGCTCAACACATTCTCTTCTTAAAAATGAATTTCTTTCTGCTTGTGTGAGACCACAGCTTATTTGTACTATAACTTGATAATACAAAAAGTTGTAGATAATTTTTACTACACTAGAGAAATACGCTGAAAATAAATAATTCAGTTTTATCATGAAATCATTAAAAAAATACATTTAAAGATGAATTTGTATACTTACCTTGTTCCATGTGCAAAGGTAGCAATAATATAAACTGTATGAGAAGAGCAGTCGGATCTCTGAGAAGTAAAGGGACTTCTCCCTCGTGTAATGTTGTAGTGAATGGAGTGCATAGCTGTTGCCATGTGTATTGTACCGGCCAGAACATACACACACGTGCGCTCTTTGCCAGAACGTGGAGAAGAGCAACTTAAAAGAAAATATTATTAATGCAAAATCTACCATTCTAGTTATTTTTAATTATCTACTAATTTAATAATGAATTGATTAATAAAATGAATTTAATAATAAAATAAATTTACCAATGCAATCACGTTTTGGCCTTAAAGGTATCGTAGTAGGCGGTGGAATACACAATGACCCACCACGTTGAACAAGTTCAATTTCGAAATTAGTTCGTGCTATAGAAGTTATGAAAACAAACAAACTTTTGTAACTATGCTGTTGTTGACACTTTGATTTTGTGCACCTTGTCATGTCCTGTACTGCTTTGTGCATTGCTTCAGATAAAAATGTTCGTCTCTGTAGGAGATGTAGATTATGTTAATTGCAGAAAACATAAAATTGTAAGCAAACAAAGTTTTTGAGATACTTACCGTTAGTGGATGATTTCGTTGTACTTCTTTCAATAGATTATTTATCTCCGGAAGCATTATAGGAAAAGGTACATAAGGCGATCGTACAATTTCTGCACATTTCCCCAATTGTGGAGAAAGTGGAAGGAAACAATTAGCTAATTGCCGACAAAGTGGACAGAGATATTCACCGCTATCTACAGCAAGGGAAAGTTGTCTTTGTTGATGATCAAGAGATTCTATATATGGCAATAAACAATCTAAATGTAAGTGATGTCCACACGTCTGCACATACACTCCACCTCTCCAACCTAGATTAACGGATAACAGCAACGAAATCTGTAAAACATCAATGTAATTGTGAATATAAATTGCTTCTAGCGAAATTAATAATTTATAAATTAAAACCTAAATATTTACGGTATCAAAATGTCGGTCCATTGCATCCATTCTACGATCAAAATAAGCACCACGTGTATCACACTTTGGTATAGGAGGATCATCGTCAGAAGTAGGTAAAACCAGTCTATCTGCTTGTTGTCGTTCGTGACCAATAACACTTGTTCCCTAAGAATAGAATTTATATAAAAATTTGCACAAGTAATCATAAAATTAAAATTAAATTATATGAACTTAATTACTTGAACTAATACAACAAGACCCATAGGATTATTTTCGGTACTAGGACTACTTTGACTGCAAATAACACAATCATACTCTTTTTTGTTAGTTAATTTGGTAGCATTATCTTTTTGATCCCAATCCATACCAGATACCCCTGCTTCGTCTAAACAAAAAATTAAAAATTTTATTTATTTATTTAAACATATTAAGCCAAATTTATTGTATTTCACATTATTCTAATATGATATTTTATATCTTATAGATATTTTATATTTTACCTGTATTATAGATAGATATTATAGATATTATAAATATTTTATATCTTACCTGTTTCCATTGCTTTTTCCATGAATTGCTTTCGTTTATTGGCGAATTCTGCCATTAACTTTTGCTGCCTTTCTTTTGCCCGTCTTCGTCTCTCTTCTCTTTCCCGATCTTCTTTCTCTCGTTTATCTTCGCTTTCCTGCATACTTGGCCATAATTTGTTCCTAGCTTCGTTTATAGCATCTTTGCACGTAGGATTTAAGTTTGCTATTTTGTTCAGTAGTTGCGCAATAAAGAACGGACCATCACCAATTCGCGATTCTGTTGGTTCTGTGGTTGAACTACTACTAGCTTCACTATCCATCATTGTACTCTGTTCGAGATTGTAACTATCCGAAACACCTGACAACTGTGAGTGCAATTTTAACAATAATGTGATTATACTCTCGTCTACTTTCACAGTTTGTGATTGTAACGATCCACCCTATAAAAAAAAGAAAAAAAATTTATGAAATAATAAATTAGCAAATACAGCGCTTGATTTATAAAAATATATATAAATTACTACCTGGGCATCTCTTCTTTTGAAGTGTTTATGTGAACTTGATGTAGATGGAACAATTTCTGTTGTTGTTACTCTAGAATTACTGAGTCTTGAGTACACTGTTGTTGCAGCAACTATTTCATTGCCAGCCATAACAGCAGGCCGTTGAGGTGCAGGTGGCAATGCAGGTTGACTACCGATATCTATACATAATTAATAAAGATTTAAAAAAAATACAAAATTGTTAAAAAGATATAATGTTCTTCTCTGAAAATGCTATTGTAATACAGAAAATAATACTACAGAAAATATTCATTTTCGCGTTTTTTTGTTTCGACATAAAATTGATGTCTTCTCGTCAATATACTTAATTATGCGTATTTTGTGACAATACAAAATACATAACATTTATAAAAAGGATGTAACTATGGTTAAGGTGAAAAGATTAAATAACATACTGTTTGGTAAAGGAGGTGATTCAAGGGCAAGGGCCATGGATTCTTCGGTGGATGATGGCAAAGCTCTTTGTAGAGATATTAAATCATCTTCACTATTAGCTTCTGATATAGTAACAATTCCATCTTCAGCTACAAAAGTTAATTGAAATTGGTCTACAATAATTAAGAAAAGAAATAGAATGTTATTGTAATGTTGTATAACATGTCTAAATAACACCGAAACATCCATCTTTTAGTTAAGAATATATAATCATATAAAAAATGTATTGTACTTTGTAATAGAGTAGATTAAATATTTTATACAAAAGAATTTTAAAGAGTTGTTTGTTTCTGATATATACATCAAATTTATAAAGCTTACAAGAATAGAATAGTTACAAACATTTATTTTACAGTATAACTAATTAAGATTTATTCGTTTTGTACGATTATTTAAAATATATGAAAATACAGAAGCAAAACTCACCATTTGCTTGAGGTAAAGCAGGTAAAGAAGTATTCACAGCAATTTGTAATGCAGTATCATTACTGATAGTATCTAAAGATGGAAGAGCTAAAACTTCTAAAGAACCTTCATCTATTGCATCATTTATCATGAGAGAAGTTCCCATTTCAGTTACATCACTTTGAATTTCCCACTCAAAGTCGCCTGAAAAATTGTAAAATATCAAAGTAATAAGTATCAAACACAGTAAGAAATAACGCAATATAGTTTAATTTTACTTACTATCTGAATTACTTGACTCTGATTCTTGGACCAAGATGACTTGAGGTATCACAGTCCTCAAGTTTTCTGATAAATCATCACTTTTATACCAATTACTTAAATCCATATCTTTTATTATACGAGGTGGTTCATCACTGGTATATTGACATAAGGAATTCATCTGATCAAAATAAAAGGAAATAATATTATTATTTTATAATCTTTAAATTCTGTTACAATTAATTACTTACAGATTTATCACGTATTTCTGCAGTAATTACTGCCATTTCTAATAAATAAATAGTCAATGCCATTGCATGCTCTGATATATTATGTCCATATACCGCTTTATACAAAATTATTAAAATCATAGCATGAAAAACTCTTGATCTTAGTACGATTCGTGGATCATCATATGCTGGTGAAACAGGAGCAGGATGCCTAAATGGTGGCCATGGAATAGCACTGTTTTTCAATTTTCCTGATTGTTTCACGCTGAAATATTTACAAAATATTTAATAAAGGAATTATACATTAAGATAAATTAATACTTTTTTATATATCAGAAAAACTTTAATATTAAGATAACGTTTTATGTTTTTTCAAACGTTTGAAAATTATGTTTTTAAACAAGCTTATTTACTATTCAGTAAAGCGATCCATTGCCATCTGGAAATCTCCTTTTTGTGCTGCTCTTAGTAATACATGTAAAGGATCAAATAATTCCTCCCAGACCAGACGTGGTTTTGGACCATACATTCCTTGCTGCATGTTTCCACTAGCTTCCAGATTAGGTGCTCTATACACTGCAACCTGTGAATCATATTTTACAATTTATGATAAAAGAAATAAATTTTTATTTCCTTTAAAGAAACATAAAACTTACATCGGCTAATACAGATTCAAAATCTCTATTTTGTGTACTGCCAGAACGTTCTGGCATTAATTCCATTAACTGACTGTGAGTTTTATCTCCCATAGATAATAAAGTAACCATTTCTAAACGGGACATTTCAGGATCAGACAAACCTACAATAAGATATTTGTTACATATAAATTCTACGATTTAGTAATGAAAAATAAAAAAATACAACATAAAAAATTTACCTAAATTTGTTCGAACATTAACTAATATAGCCAAAAATGTTAAAAAACTTTCTAACATTGGTGTATCATGTTCTTCATCCATGTACTCATTTTGAGATGTTTTGTACAAACGAAGACTCATCTCTTGTTTTATATGAAACCTAATTAAACAAAATTATTGTCATTATTGTTGTGTAACTTTAATGTGCAATTTACACATGCATATACTTAATAAAATATTGAAAATTACTTTTTAACAACTGTTTTCAGAAAAACCTCTGGTTGTAACTTCGTTGCACAAACTTGAAGCAGATAAAGATCCGCATCTACCATTGAATTACAAAAATTGCACTGTATGTACGTCATAATTTGGCCTTTTATTTGAAGGCCATTGCGCACCCATAATCCATTTAAAATTTCATAAAAGGCAACCTAAAATAAAAATACATGATCATTAATATATACAATATTACTTTATGATATTCATATAGTATTACATAATATTAAAATGATTCATTGAGAAATTATTTCATTCTGGTATTTGAAGGTATTAGTAGGTATTAGTAGGTATTAGTAGGTATTAGTTTTTAACACATGCATAATATGTAAAAGGCCTAACAAACAGTGTACTTGAAACAAATTTATTTCCTATAATAATTTACTTTGATTATTTCTAAATATTATCCATAGAATTGGATAAATGAAATGGAAATTTCTTTGCAATATTAATCGAATTTTATTACAGAAAAATGCTGTCGAAATGGGGAAAAATAAATTTTCCTACACGTTATCCATTGCTTGAAATGAATTTGTACAAAGATTGAAATTTATTTAACGTGTATGTTCATATGCATTTATCATCTACTTTTGCATACATAACAATGTTACACATTAAGTATTTAATATTCAAATAAGAGACCGTTTCCCATAGGGTATATGATTCATAGATTCATGGTATATATCTCCATCTTGATTGACCAATCCCGTAAGTGGAAAGCATTTCAGCAGCCAACAGCAGCCGCTCTGTTGTAAATTTGTTGTGTCAGTTCGTCGTAGCAATTCTACGATCGATGAACAAAGGAGTAGAAGTCATTTGTACAGTTTTACGAGAGCTGATTAAAAGAGCTTCCCCAAAAAAAATTTTATTCCGTTCCCTTGTAATTAAAATTCGTGACAATAAAAGGAACATGTGATAAGGAACATAAATAATCGGATGACTGATCGGTAAAAGAAAAAAGAAGAGCAAGATCACATCGGTGTTACTTGTGAAAACTGAATATTACTTTTCGATTCGGATTCGTTGCCGAATTTAAGAAAGATGACTACAAGCTGTAAGATCATTTTCATTTGCCTGTTACTTAGCGTAGAGCAATTCATGTACAGCTCTCAATTTGGTTATGTTGACGTAAAAGACTTAATAAAATTCGGCCACGAAGTAATCATGTACACCTTTGAGTCGTGGGATTTGATACGCCCGAAAGATTCCGAGTACGACAACAATTTGCCATTCATTCACAGAATGGAGAATAAATTGAAAAATCGTATATCGAAGGTGTCGCAACAGATCAACACGTTTGAGGAACATATGGACGTACATTTGGACACCATCTTAAATCAAATTTCGAGGATGTCGTTGCAACAAAGTCTGCATCAAAAGCTACATATAATCCAGAAATTCGTTGGCCAAATCAACGATTTGTACGATGATTTCCATTCGTATTCGAAAACGCCTGATAAATACGAGAGATACACATTAGAAGATTTTGCGAAAACGTGCGTCTCCTCGAGATCAGGTGCTCTTCCGGATCTTCTAAAAAGCATCTATCGGCTGTTCATTCCTTCCCCCGATGAGATTCTCCACAGAAGCGTTCTCATATTACTAGCAAATGAAATGCAAGTAAGTATGTAATTGCACGGATGCTTTCAAAAATATTGAGAGAAAATGATGTTTCAAATACTTTATCGAGGTAAATAGAGAGAGATAGAAATTTCTGTCAACTTTGTGGATATATGTAAAACAATTCTTTCTGAGCTGTTTTTGAAATGAAAAAAAGTTTCAATTTCATACGAATATCCCTCAATGAGCTGTTAGGTATTTTAGTTCCTCATGACTATCAAGGGATTATATATATTAACTGCGGGAGAATATCACGGTGATCAAGTGACATCCGACAATCTATTCAAATTACAAACTTGATACGAGCGTAGATAAAGTCAATATATAACTGTCTATTGTACTTTTTATATTTGAACATTATGCAGGATATTCAGCGTAAGTATCGCTACGAAATGGGATTCAGGGATTTCCTACTTTCCAAATATTTATATTAAACAAAAATTTAATATATTTATGTTTTCGGAAGATACGAACATTGTCTTTTGTTTTAAACAAAATTATATTGTTTTTAAATACATTGGAGCAAGTCGTAATGAATATCTCCAAAAAAAGTAAATACAAAACAAAGTTTCGATTCGTCGAAATTATTTGGCACCAAATATAGTTCGATTTTGTGAACTATATTTGGTGCAAAACCACTTTTCTAAAGTCGTTAAAAAATATATATATATATAGAACGAACTTAATACAGCTAATGATTTGGAGGAAGGAAAAAGAAAACAATGGCTTGATTGTCTGTAAAAAATACTTATATAATCCATACTTCCTTCAATCTTTTTTATTATCAAAAATAATTATCAAAGAATCATAACGTGGTCGCTACAACAACGATTCAAAGATTTCCTAAAGAAATCCTGAAAAAACCTGTGAAAAACGAAATTTCATTTTCATTTTCTTCGATAAACTATTTTCAATAAAGGAACAAAGAACAGAAACGCAACATTTTTTCTGGAACAATGATGTTGTTCTATGCAAGCGATTTAAACGTGAAGAGAGCGGGAGAACGAAGAGGAGCATGCGCAGAGACACGTAACACCATTAAGTCTCGAACGATCCCAACTCAAGAGGGGAGGAACAACAGGGACAAATGACGGGACAATAACGCGAAATTCTTAGTAGAGCCTGAGCGAACGTGGAAAAAGTGTTTGTTGCAGAGGTGTACTCGATCAAAAAAAAAAAAAAAACTCAATTACTTTGCAAACTATATAAAAGGCTATTCTCGAGCGAATGTTTGTGCAACGATAGATGCAGTGAAGTATTTTTCGGGCAATATAAAATTGATGACCAGAACATACATACATACATACATACATATATATATACACAGAAAAAGAAATATAATGTAAGAAGACTTGGACGATTTATCAGGTTTCAATTTTTGATTATGGTCAAAACGCCTTCAGTCAATCGTATTAACCTTTCACGGCCCATATAACTTCGAAACGTTTACTTTCCATCCGTTAATATATGGACGGCGCCATTGGGAAAAAAAGACCGAGATTGAAATGAATCTTGTTTTTCTTTTTCTTTTTCCTTCTTTTTTTCGAGATGTCGCTGAACAGCCTGATATTTAAAAAAAAAAAAAAAATAGAGAAAAGAAAAGAAGAAAACGTTTCGAGATCTCGTTCCATTCTGAATAACAGCACCATCTTCAAGTTTCTCACATCGTGTTTTGTCGTGTCGTCTCGAATACTTACACGCAGGATTTCTACTGCATGTATGCACGTAAATACAAATGTGGCGTGTTGAAAAATACATTGGTACATCTTAAAATCGTTATATAATATTTTAATTTTGTATCTTTTAATAGTATAGCAGAGACACTGCGGCGAAGAAAATGTTTATGAAAATAATTTAACCTTTAGCTCGAGTGAATCGATCCTTTTGTACAGATCGATAATGATAAATCTTTAATATAATCTACATGATTTATTATGACGATTCTAAACGAACGTACTATAGCGAATAGTAAAAAAAATAGTTCTATTAAAAAATAATCGCTTTTAAAATAAGAAGGAACTCACTTTTAAGTAAGAAATAAAATATACGCATGTAATAAGATTGTGATAGATACGAAGAAACTTTAGGAGAGACTTTTTTTTAATGTGGTAAAAACTAATTCTTATAAATTCATTTGTAAATATTATAAATTTTAATGATCAAGATTACTTTTCGACTCGTTGCTTTCAGACAAAGAAACATCGCTTCCTACAGATTCCCGTGCAAGAGACGATGTGAGAAACTTACTATATCGAGTTGAAAAAGCAAGTACTGAAAATATCGATTATTGTCGAAATTGTCTAAATTGCCGGAATAGCTGATAATTACACGCGGATGTGACTCACGTTTAAGTGATCTGCTAGAGGCAACAGAGTATTATCAATCGAGAACGAATCTCCGAGATGTCATATATTTAGAAATATTTCTGCGAATGAAACGTATTTAGTTTTTAACACAAACAGTACGCTCGACCCCACTATCAAATTTCACGTGTTTAGTTGCTGTGTGTGTGTGAGATAGGCAACTACTGTTGTTATGAATATGCGACATCTCAATTTGGAGATTTCGAGGTCACTACATAAGTTATGAATACAACTTTAGTTTAGTATTTCCCTCTAAATTATTTTACATGGTTGATTTGTTCCGAGCCATATTGCTTAATTTCATATTACTAAAAATGACTCATCGTACTGAGCTATATCAATAAAACAACCAAAAGCGAGAGAAGAGTAGAAAATTTTCACTGAGACGGAAAGTGTGACACATAACCAACTTATCATTAGATCATAAGAAGTTAGCGATAGTAGAATTGTCAAGCTGAATTTTCATTGTACAGCTTGTTTAAGTAACAAGTATCTTTGTTCGTTATAGGTATTGTGGAGGATCAATAAGCGGCACGGAATGAATCACAAAATATTTGACTAAATAATCAACAACTACACCTCTTACCAAATATCTTTTTTTTTTTTTTTACATGATTACAAATTCAAACCATTTTTCTTAGCACAAATTTCAATCTCCTATATCGAAGTTTCAATTTCAATATATAGGTATTGAATACTTTAATGGATATGAAGGCTTTGTAAGCGATTCATCTACGTATAATTGAAGATAAATTCTACCCTATCAAGGATCAGATAAGAAAGAGCACGTAAACATGAAGAAGCCAAGCATTCGTGTATGTTTTCTGTTTCTCTGCACAATATGGGTAGCAATGGGTATAAAGTACGACACCACGTTGATCGACGAGATGCGAAACAAGCTATTGCGATTGGAGAAAACGTTAGAGAGGGACCTGTTCCACTCGAGGTTACACGAGTTTGAAAATAACGGGCAAGGAAAGTACGTATGGCTCATAAAAAGTTTCAAGAAATTTGGCGACGAGTTAGAACGAAATTTCTCGACCAATGGCTCTGAGAATTTAAACGCGTTGAACCCTATTTGGTTGTGGGCTCGTACAGAGAACGAGCTAAAAGGAGTAGACGGTCTGTACCGAGTTTTCCGAATGATGCAACAAGAGATCGTCAACGGAGAGGCTGCGCTCGACATACCAAAGCTGGCCGATTTCTTGGACACAATTCTGCACGATCCGAACGCATCGATCGTGCGCGCCCTAGGTCGAATCGGTGATCTGATAGTAAACGAAAAGTTGTTCGTTTCGGCTTACCAGGTATAACAATTACCAAAGCGAGTTGTAAGAAATTTCTAATTCTTTAGAAATTATTAGATCAATATAGAATTAGATTAACGATGTAGCGAACTCGTTCTTCTTTGATAATTAACAATTTTAGTTGTGGATAGATCTTTGTATTCTTCTTTCCCATTTATTTCCCACTAGGAAGCAGCTTCGCAAATTTGTAATGAAAATCAGTCACTTCAGCAGTTGCTCTATAATTTATACACCACGGTGACTCTGTCGGAAATCAAGGGTTACAGTATGATCCAATTTTCTTATAAACTGCTGCGACTCTATAATCCAGGTATAGCACAACAACTCTTATCTGCATCATACATAACTTATTGTTTTTTTCTTTTTCCAATTTTTGTAATGGGATTTAATGACACTGTATATGATTTGCAATTGTGATTTTGCATATTTTCGCTTGCTTGCTCTAGGTACTAATTTCACTGAAGAAATGAAAATAGTGCAGGAACAATATGAGAAGAGAACGAGGGAGACCCTGCGGGCTGTAAAAACAGCCATGGCCTTTGCTCCGCGACAACTTTGGAGATGCGATGCGAGACTACACGAATTAGGTACATTTTCTTGCTTTCGCGTGTTTTATGCAGCCAGTATAAGTGAAACAATTGTTTCAGATAATACGTACACCAAATTGACACAGTTGTTCCAAGGATATATCGTGAACGAAGTAGATTTGAACAGTGAAGCGACTTGTAGAGAAAATTGTGCTTATTACGAGTATTCGAAAGTTAATGGATGTTTTAAAAATCTATTTTGTTCCCAGCAACGCAGATGTAATGGTAAAGTATTGAAATGCGAGTACATCGATTCCGACATGTGGATTTGCCCTTCGGTAAATTGAAATTCTTTCTCTGTGTTCAAGAGATAATAAGACATACTGTTTAATATGTTTCTAAATTATTTCAGTCACAGAAAAGCGATCGAAGATATGACTACATAGAGTACGAAAATGGCATGATATTTGGGCAAAAAAACAGTTGCAATAAGACCAAAGTCGATAGCTGGTGGCGTTGGTTATTTTGGCATTGTAGTTATTGCTTTTGCTATTGTGATGACAATACTATAAATTCTGATCGGTATTTTAGTTTAAGAAAAGTTGAATCTGATATAGCAAACAACAAGTGAGTGATCAATTATCTCAGATATTTTAAGAAGACTCTTGAGAAGTGAAGTCATTGGCGTGATGAATAATGTTATTTGTTGTAGAGTTGTGACGGGCATCCGATTTAAAAAAGTGAATCAAATAATACATATGCAGATACAAGAAGGTGAATTACTACCACGTGGATACATTAATCAATCCACTGTACACTGGAAACCAATTGAAGAGTTTAATATATTAGATAAAAACGTTAAAAATGGTATTGACTATCATACTTTATCATGGGAAGAAAGAGGTTTGGACTTAGATGACTTAGTCCACGATGATGATGATGATTATCTTTTGACAGGTACATTTATATGAAAACTATATTTCTTTTATCCCTCTTTTGTAAACATCACGTTTACAACACATATTTTTTCAGGTCTTAAATTTCGAATGGTCGGTCCACGACTAAATTTAGAAGTAAGAATGACAGCTTTCAATTTCACAACTGGAAAATTAATAAAACCTATAGAAAAGAGCATCTGGATCAGTCATGATAACACCGACAGGTAAAATTTGCTCGTACATCGTGAATATTCTCATATACTTATAAATGTATTTTTGCTTATCTAGCAAACTTGTTTGTTCGCAGAATTGAATTGAAACTTGAGAATCCCGACATACCAATTCGAACACCTCTTCTAGCACTACCAGACTCCAAACCGCAGCAATATTTGAATTTTGCGCCAAGCGATCGTAAAACTGATGCTGCGCAAAACACGATACCATTTCTTGACATTCAGTCAGTAGAATCAAATCCACCAGTTCCAATTTCAGGTGCTGGTATTTTTCATAAAGGCCGACCAGCATCGGGTGGATACGTAGCATTGAGATTGATTACGTATGATTTCAGTAAACATTTACAAGTTGATTTACCTCCTTCTACAGATACAGTTATTGATGCACCAAATGAGATAAGAGCAGTATAAATATAATTTTGTTCGCGTTTCTCCCTATTCCTAAAGTATATAGTTATACTATTAAAATATACTAGGATATAGCTCATAAATATTATTTGTGTTATGTTTTTACTTTAATATGTCTTTCACTAATTTACGTTTCAATATAACTCATAAAACCAACTATACATCAATAATAATTCCTTTCTTTTAAAACAATTCTCTGTCAAATAATTATTTTTTTGTGCCATCTTAGCATCTATATATACCTTTTAAAACATATCATGGAAGCCAAATTCTTTGTATTTTTTTATACTCCTAACTCCAATAAGACCTCTAATAACGATACTTGTTAATTTATAAGAAATTGTATTTTGTTATCTAAATAGGAAATTTATAGATTTCCTCCAGTATTATACTACTGAAATAAAGTACTGTAAACCTATTCATTACCTGAAGTACCTTTTTTATATTATTATGTTTGATACTTTAAAGAGATATAATAATACGTTCAAAAATGTGATTTTCTATGAAATGTGATTCTCTGATGAACGTGAATATACTAGAAAATAGAGAAAAGTACTTACCTGAACTTGTAAAGGATGCATTATTAAAAGATGTAACATATCAGTAGGGGGCAATAGATCATTGAGAGTAGCTCCTTGTTGGCGCACAGCTTGGCACATGAACACAGCAAAGTATCGATGTAATGGTAAATGAAACGATACTTGTAAACTATCACTCTGGAATAAATGGAAAAAATATCGCGATTGTAATATCGCTAGTATACTTGTTTGTTCATTAACCAACTTGCATATTAGTATTCATTACTTACCACATTCGAATAAGTGAAATTTATAGCATCTAACCAATCTTGTAATGCAGTGAAACAAAATGATAGCACTCTACGAGTAAGAGCAGCACTTTCAGGACCACGCAAGTGAGAAACTAAAGCCCACATTGGATATGCACTAGCTTCTAATTCAGCGCTAAACGCTGCGTAGTACGTATTAGATTCATATTCAACGTGTTGATCTAATTCTCGTTGATTCACGTTCATTCCTAGAATAAACACAACAAAGAATTTTTAAAATATTTTTAGAATATTTTTATGTATAAATACTTTAAGTTAGAATTGAGCAAAAGTTAAATAATACCTTGAAACATAGACAGAAAATCGAACCACATTTCTAAAAGTGTATCATCACTCATAAATCTAACAGCTATAGGTTTATGTGAAAGAACATTATTTAAATCTGAAACAATAGGCCAATAACAGTGTTCCTTCATCACCTGTCGTTCACAATCTACTACATAGTGAAAATTTTTATTTGGATCTAAAAAGAGAGACATTTATAATAAATCTTGAAATTTAGTTGTATCTTTAATAATAGCTGCACAAATATCACCTACCATGTAAAATATTCTGAATCAATATTTTACTCATCATATATTTTAAAGCTATTACCATAACATGCAACAACTTTAATTGATCCACCATTTTCAGTGCTAAACTTTCGTTACTGAATAACTGAAATATAAAATTCATATAAGGCCTTTTCTTTATTATGAAGAAAATATATTTACATGAATACACTAACCTGTACACTGACATGGACTACTTTATTGCTTAAAGTATCAGGATCTGTTGAGCGTTCAAGCATCATCGAAACTCTACTGTAATGTAGTACAAAAGCACGAGTAAGTGCTTCCTTATATTCTGGATCTGGTAACATATTTAGCAGCAAACAAACTAATTTCTGTGGAAATTGATAAACAACTGTCCAAAACATCAATTCCTCTAAGAAAGTAGTATGTTGTAAATGTTCTTGTAAAGATGCACATTCTGAAAAATTATAGCAAAATATTTACTGTAATTATATTCTGCCAGAACAATATGTGTACATTGATAAAAAAATATTCACCTTTATATTCATCAGGTGGTTCTGGATTTGACAAAGATTTCACTGCATTTTGATATATTTCATTGCTGTCTTGGCAATAGCTATCATATTCTGGTTCTCCGGTTGATACAGTAGGATCCATAAGACTTCTATATTTTTGCGGATTAGTAAGAGCTGATGTCATAACATGCCTCATTAATGCACCCATCTTATTAAAATCAATGAGCATTGTTAGATATTCATCTGCATCTTGAATTACAATTTCATAATTTCGTTGACCCACCGTACTATATTGAAGAAAATATTTATACACATTATACATTTCTTATATTTTTGATGACTGAATAAAGAGATGTATGATATACCAATTTTCGCGTAAATGTTGTATAAGGCGAAGAATTATTCTGGGCATCATTGCTTCTGCTACACACATTAAATTTGAAGGAGCAGCTGACTTATCAACAGCTGCTTTTGGACCATGCCTGTCACAAAATCTAAAAGAACAATTTTATTAGATATCATACTTATTAATACAATTAAATAATTATAAGAACTTCTATTTGATAAAATTGTTACCCTGATTCCTTCATAACAGATGCGTCACCGCAATCACAAGCACCACCTGCTTGACTTAAAAACATATTGAAATCATGACCATGATGATTGCCCTTTTTGAAACATTCTGTACATAAGGACATACATGGTGATATACCACATGTACGACAACGATATGCTACAAAATTGGGTGTCCAAACCAATCCACATGTTGTAGCATTGTCGTACATTCTCACTAAAATGTTTATAAATATTTAATTTAAACAGATGAAAATTTAATACAACGTATGTTTTATATATGTTCAAAAATTATAAGCATTTTAAGTTTGCATAATTACATTACCCGGGAAACAATTTTTTAAATTAAATGTTAAATTATATTTAATATTTTTGAAAAATTATTATTATTGATTTAAAAAAACTTTTGTTGACTTCAATTGGTTACATTCTATGAATTTCACTCTTTTATCATATTACGATATGTACATCACATTTTCGTATCTATAGCAATGTACATAAACATATATTCATTGAATGATCTTACTGATGCCAAATACGCAAATTGCACTATACTTATATCACAGATTTCAAAATCAAGTTCATAACAAAGTCTGCTATTTAAAAGTGTCAAGCAATAATCACAATATATTGTATTTATAAAAACATGTACTTCTATACACATTATGAATTTAAGTAATAAAATTTGATAAAGTAATGAATTTAATAATATGTCTTAAGAATAATATATGCAACAATAATAAATAATTTAATCATAATAGTGTATAATGCAGTGTACGCAAACATTGGATAAAACATATTTATGTTTGTTAAAAATATGATTGATGCAAGAGCATTGATAATGATCGATTTATTCAACTTGCAAAGTATACTAACAGATAAGATTTAAAAGAATTCCTTATTGTGCAGTTGAAGAAAACAAAATATTCAACGTACCTGTCTTAGCGAACTTCTCCGGCGTATGACCACTGGCTATCAACCATTTACACCAGTTAATAGTTTCTCTGTCAGTAATAACTTCACCAGGATTCAACAGTTCATCCAATAAGTTACTAAGAGAAGGTGGACACTCACTGTCATTAGCTAAGTTGCTACATTCTGCGTGTATGTGAGCAGCCGCGTAACTTTTGCTTCTATTCCTTAGTATCTCAGTGCACAAGCTAGACATCGAGAACATCGCGGAAAATTGACCTCGCGCAGCGAGGATATCATTGATTTTGATACGTGTTGCGGTATCCTCCGAGAATGACGAGCGTACGATGTCGAGTCCTGGCTTCGCCAGCTCACCAAATCCCGCGGGAATACCTCAATGGATCTGTAAATAATGAAGATAATAATTAATACTATTACGATATAGCGTGGACCACGGTAAAAAGCGTAACCTAAAAATAACAGCGGAAAACAAATGAGCAAGTCAAGTCGGGAATCAGGTGATATACCGACGTTAAAATTTTCAGGAAGCCGACAGGACAGCCGATAGTTGCCTGACGACTTACACCTTTTTGCGTGTTTCTCGTGTGAAAACTTCCGGGAAACCTTTCAAGCAAAGGCGGCCCGCGAACCAGGGAATTCTCAACAACCTCCATATCAGCGAGCATCTCCCGTCAACTTTGTCTTCCTCATCAATTTTGACGACATGACGAAAGCAGCAAGGGACCGTTACCTTATACCACTCTCCTGAACCGTGGATTACTATCGACTTTCAGATTTCGTGTTTCGACAAGTACACCGTACTTGCACAATAATCGTCGTTGATAACACACATTTACACTTACCGAACAGTAAAAGCACTCGATCACCAATCGTTCGATCAATTGACCACAGCTTATATTCTTCTACGGTACGTCGTCTTCTTTCTGATCAAGAATTTGTCTAGCTTATCGACAGAACAATGACAGAATACCAGATCTTGTTTTTCAATGAGTGCGTTTCATCAGAATGTTTTCACTATGCTCGAAACTACACGCAGTTAATCCTTCTTATTACGATAATTACAAGTAATATACACGGAGAAATTTCTCAGAATTAATGGAATTAAATAATATTAAAAATATAATTTAGAACGTGTTATTTATTCGCTTTATTTGTAATCCAATCATATGTGGTTTTTTGGACAAATTGGATTTATTAGAGAGTATGATACTTCTTGCATTTATCACTATTTCAGAAAAAATAAAAAACTTGATATATAATTATATATTTTTTGCATTGGGATAAAATTTTACTTTTTGTATTACTAATTATTATTTCTCATGAAATAAGCGAGAATTGTTAAAAATTTATTTAAATCCCAAGAATTTCCAATCAAGGGATTACAATGTTACAAGAAAATTTAGTATGGCAACATTGGTAGTCCTGGCTTCTCTCTTTCGGTCGGTTGATCGAGCGTGTATGTTGCTGTGATAAACAAAGTTATAAATCGCAGGTAATCTCAGTTTTTTGAATTCATCCGGTACAAATTAATTACAAATTAGTTTCTAGCTTTAATAATTGATTGATTAATAATAATATTTTGTGTTATTGTAACATTCAAGAAAGTATAAAGTTCGTGGAATAGTGCTGTTTTTCATTATTATTATTTTGTTTTTTAATTAAATTTAAATTATATTCGTTAAATTCTCGATTGTTATTTTATTCAAATTAATGATATTGAATCGCTCGCATTTATAAAAAGATAAAATTACATTTTTAAATCTGTTTTGTTTCTTTCATAGGTTATGTTTCATTGACATTTTGAAATACGTTTTAAATACGTTTTTTTAAGAAATAGTCTTTAAATATTTTGCTAACTTAAAATCACATTTTGTTTTCAGCCATGGTGCGTATGAACGTTCTTAGCGATGCTCTCAAATCCATTAACAATGCCGAAAAGCGTGGAAAAAGACAGGTGCTGTTAAGGCCCTGTTCAAAAGTAATCATCAAATTTCTAACTGTAATGATGAGAAAAGGTAAGATATTGTTGAATTAGATGTATGAATGTTCTCTTATTTTCAGAAAGAACATTTCTGTATAAACTTGTACACAAACTATGTAAATTGCTTCTAACATTTAAGGATATATTGGAGAATTTGAGATTGTTGACGATCATCGCAGTGGTAAAGTTGTGGTAAATCTTAGTGGAAGACTGAACAAGTGTGGTGTAATTTCACCTAGATTTGATGTTCCAATTAATGATATTGAAAAATGGACTAACAACCTGTTGCCATCTCGACAGTTTGGGTATGTATTTGTGTGTATAAATTTGCAATAATGTAAAGAAATTTACACTATTGGGAGTTGTAGATAATTTTATGTTCCTATAGTGTAATTGTAATTTATAAACATTTTAGATACGTTGTTTTGACCACAAGTGGAGGAATTATGGATCACGAAGAAGCTAGAAGAAAACATCTTGGAGGCAAAATACTTGGATTTTTCTTCTAATGTTTATTTAATTCAATAAAAATTTCTTAATGCTAAGAGAATTATTTTTCTATGTTTATCAGATGTGATACCTACCCATATTTATCAGAAATGACTACCTTTTGTACCTGATTTTCAACCCTTGATATTTTTGTAGTAATTTGTAAGTTTATTTTTATTTTTCTAAATTTATACAACAGGGCAAATGTAAGAAATATTCATAGTAATATAGTACAATAATGTTTACATATTTGTATTTTTAATTGTAACAGTATTTGTATTTTTAATCTTTTAATTCAAGACAAATGCTAATAAAAAATTCCATCATAAAAATGTAATATAGGAGAGGGAATTTTTATATTGTTTTGTCATTATCGTTTTATAAAAAGAGAGAAAGAGAAGTTTAAACAAAAGTATTTTTTTATTTAGAAATAAATTTTCATGTGCGTGCATGCAAAAATTTGTAGCAAATATGTACCAACCAACACATTTAACTTTTAGGAAACTCCTGATTGGTCGTCGCATCTTACCGTTGACTGGTTGAACGGCATTAAGGCAGTTCGAGCATGCGCGTGGCCGCGATTTCAACTTTACGCTGCCTGTGAACGCAGCCGATGACGGTCAGTCAACAAAACTTTGTAATTCGAACGAAACTCACGGACGGTTCGCATCACGGGTCTCGCGTTGTGCAGGTTTTTACATTTCGCTGGCCTTTTGTAAATAAAAGTTTCACCATTTTATCCCCAATTCGAACGAAAGAAACGTGTCGAAGAGTTTCTAACAGATTTAACGGTGTTGCCAGGTGTTACCAGGTGAATGTGACCGTTTTGTGCCGCGTTACCTGGGATTTGTCCGCAGGAGACAATCGTACGGAAGTGCCCGTGAAAACTTCACTTCTTACGCGTAGCGCGGCCGTCAAAGAAGATAAGCGTCGATAAGAAACGCGAGATCAATCGTGTTGACATTTGGATTTCGATACAGTTCAAACGTACACGCAAGTTCGTTACCTGTTCAACGCGTACATCGGAGCAACGTGTAACTTCTGCAAGAATTCGCAACTTTTTTTTTTTTCGTCGCTGCGAAACAACTCTCCTGCCCTGTCAATCCTTACGTCTTTCAACATAAATATACAATTACAAGAAATTTTGTTTTTCCACGAGTCTTTGCGCGTTTCGCTCCGAAAAATGTCGCGAGACGTGACAACGAGCCGCGTAGAGGCATCCAACGATACGTAATGCTGAATCTAACGGAAGAGACCACGAACTCGAACGATCAGTCCGTTCAAAGCGAGGGAAGTAAGGATCGATCGACGCGTTGTATTTCATTGAGAGTCGAATGAGAAACGGTACCGATGCTTCGTGGCCTTTGGTTTCCCGAAAGGAGGAGGGACTACGAGTGCAAGTAAAAGGAATGTTGCCTCACAGGTGTACGGTTGTAACGCTCATCCGTTACGCCTGCTAAAACACACGTAACACACGATAATTCGAGGCTGAAATTCGCACGTGAACTTAAAAGAAAGAAAAAAAAAAAAAAAAAAAAGAAAGAAAAATGCGGAGATCGTGCAGGAACTGTTGGTACTGGCTCGCGTAACTTGTTGTCCGCGGAAATTTGCACGACCGTTCCCCTGTTCGTGGTGAAGTGTTCAAGGAAGGTTGGCGCGAGTGGGCAAAAGCGGCGGAGAAATCAAAGTAACATGGAGATGCCGTTGAGGAATGCAGTGGCGGACCTGTCGACCTTCCTCAGCACGAGGACGCGGATTTTATTTGCTGCTGTCTATTTCATTTGGATCGCTGGCAGCGCCTGCGCCACTGGTGAGTTTTCGCGCCCATTTTCACGTCCCTCCCCTGTTTTTTGATTTTCTTTTCGCGCAACTCGCCACGCGTCTCCTTCGTGTATACAATCCCCTCTCCACCCCCGAAAACGAACGTCCTCTTGCTAATACCACTTCTTTCGGTCACGTGATTTTCTTTCATCTCGTCTCTTTAAATTCCGAGGTATAAAAAAATATTGTTCTCGAAATAATTTTTATAAAAAAATAATTTTTACTTTAACTTTAACGTGCGAGAATAACGAAATCTGTTTTTTCTTTCTCGGGGATATTACGCGCCATTACCATTTATACCATTTTATACCATTGCCACACACACACACACACACACACACACAC